AATACTACAATAAATTATTACATCAGACAGGATACAGACAACAGGATTAAAACACTATGGCATGACACATATAATATGAAATTATAGGCACACTATCTGACTAGGTATATGTGTATGTATTAGTTTGCATATGGGGCCTAGGAAAAGATTTGAGGAATTGGAGATCATTCTATTTTTTAAATCAAGAATCAGAATATAACCACTCTGAGCTTGAGCAGAGCCCTTTCTTGCCTCTTACAAAAAGACTGATGGTCTTACAGCCATGGACCAGCTCTCCATCACATATTTTGTTGTTTAATGCTATAATGAGATCAGCCATAGCTCAGCTTTCCTTAATTCTCTGCAGGCTTGTATCAACGCAGATGTTCATGAAGAAGAGATAATGGCTTGAAAGCTCTAATTTTGTTACCCTCTCTGCCATCTAAGCTGATCCTAATGTGATTAGGAAAGTCCTTTCTTACTCAGGCAGGGTCAATTTGCCTCAGAGGGAAAGGAGACACTGAGGGTGCCAGTGTTGGCTCCATGCTCAGAAATGTTATTGTGGTGGCCCGGAAACTTGTTAGTGCAGTGTCCTTCATCATATCCAAAGGCAAAGGAGAGCAACTCACTTCAGTCATTCCTTCTTTATTTGCATTTATCTGGAAGCAATGGGCTTCCATGTTTCCACAAGTGCGCTTTATATGAAAAAAGGCTCCCAAACCTGGTAGCTGTGGTTGCATCAGATCAGGCTGGGTTCATCACATCTGAGTTATCACACAGCTTCACCTCAGTGCGGTGGAGGACCACGAGAAACCCAGTGCATCAGGCAGCAAGCTGCGAAAGCGTTAACACAACATGTTTGGCTGATGGACCTCCTAAGCATTTCGTATCATACACAACCAGACAAGGAGAAGTTAATGCAGTTACGAGTTTAGCTTCAGATCAGAAAATACCAGGATGTTCTCAAACCATCAGGAGCTGTTGTGAAATAATAATGGTAGCTGAGACAAGGAGGAGGCCCCAAAGATACATTGCTGCAGTGCTGGCCAGTGGGCCAAGTTTCAGATATCCGCACGGGGAACATCATGGGCAGTAAGTTGCAGACTGGAGGGTTGGGGTGGGCTGTGGGGGTCGTGCTAGTTTCAGAGCTATATGCCAGCAGAGCAGGACAGGAGCAGCAGGTAAGGAATGGTAGAGCCGTAGGATGAAGCCCATCAGAGGAGATACACTTGTTCTAAGTGATGCTGAATGTGCCTGTGGTTGGGCCATGTCTTTGCTGTGTTTTAGGATGGCCTCACAAAGAGGTATATGGAAAAGTTAAAGAGAAGATAACTTCCCTCCTTCTGCATTCACCTAGAGCAAGCCTGGATGGAGAGAAACACCACTGAGCTTTTGTGTGGACACTCTCTTCTGGTCACAGGGTGGAAATTAACACTTCCCTCTGCTGTACTTCTCCATCAGAGGTCATGAATGAACTAATTTTAAAAATATGGTGTTACCCTATGCCTACAGTCCCCTTCTTCACCTCTGGCAGAATGCAACTGCTCAGCCACTGCTTTCGCCATCACACCTGGAACATGAACAGGCCACCACACCTCGAGTTAACCTTCATTTGCAGAGGCTGAAGACCACACTTCCAGTCTTATACAATCATAGAATCATTTAGGTTGGAAAAGATCTTTAAGATCATCGAGTCCAATTGTAAACCTAACACTACCAAGTCCACCACCAAACCATGTCCCTAAGCATCACACTTACGTGTCTTTTAAATATGACCAGGGATGATGTCTCAATCACTTCCCTGGGTAGCCTGTTCCAATGCTTGATAACCCTTTTGGTGAATAAATTTTTCCTAAAATCCAATCTAAACCTCCCCTAGTGCAACTTGAGGCCATTTCATGTCATCCTATCACTTGTTACTTGGGAAAAGAAACAGAGACCCACCTCACTACAACCTCCTTTCAGGTAGTTATAAAGAGTGATAAGGTCTCCCCTCAGCCTCTTTTTCTCCAGACTAAGCAATCCAAGTTCTTTCAGCTGCTCCTCACAAGACTTGTTCTCTAGACCCTTCACCAGCTTCATTACTGGCTCAACTCATTTCCTTTGGAGACATCTCTGACAAAGTTAGCATGCTGGTCTTGACCTCATGCCAACATGCTGCCCTGACCTCTTGTTTCTTACACACTTATTTTCTGATCATCCTTACGCAAATCACGAAATTACCCTGGCAATTCCAGCTGCCAGTGCTCCATGCTTCTTACTGCTCATGTGGTTCCTCCAGTGCAGACAAATGGTGAGTGATGTGCATCAGCTCTTCAAACTGCTCACGTTAATATTTTCCCTACAGATGTGTCTAGAGTAGGTCCGGCATTGCTGCTGTCGTTTGGACTCTTTGCACACCCTTCATTCCTCCTTGTGATGGCAGTGGATGGAGAGATCAGCTCATTTGATGTTTGTCACTTCTACCTTGTCTCAACATTATATTGCAAGGTCTTTCCCCACTACTGGGTTGAGTGCAGAGGTTGCTCAGTGCTGTGGACTATTTTTCTATAAATGGCACAAACACAAGTTTGTTTCCAAATGTGTCTTTCTCAGTATTTCGAATTCTTTCACTTCCTGCTTTTTCAGTCTTAGCTTTGGGTCATGTTTCAGCTTTGTTTGCCAAACTACTCTTTCATTAAGTGTGGATGTCCTCGCAGTTGACATTGTTCAAACAGGATTTTCAGGATCACAATAGTAATATTGCTGAGACCTTATACAACGTAGGAACGTTTCTTCATGTCTGTTGCAACCTGGTTTTATAAACTTCCAGTAAAATGGCTACTTTCAGGCTGTGGCTCCTTGCCTGTTCTGTGATACCAGAGCCCTGGAAGTGTCCGTCCCATTTCCTTCATGTTTCAGCAATGCTGCTGGAGGACTACCGAGTATGGTTTATTTCATGCAAATGTCCATTTTCTGGTTCCCTTTCCTTTCAATCTTCACTAACGTTTCTTGCCCTTTTGCCCTTTGTGATGGATTAACCATCTCCAGCATTTAAGCACCCACCAGCCTCTCGCTCACTCCCCGCCAATAGGATGGGGGAAAGAATCAGAGGAGCAATAGTGAGAAAAAGTGCAGGAAAGAAAGAAAACTAAGAGCAAGTGATACAAATGCACTTGCCGCCTCCCACTAGCAGACCAGCTAGTGTCCAGCTAGTCTTCAAGCAAAGACTACTTTGGAAAGACTATCCTCCCCAATTTATTACTAAGCATGATCCTGTGGAATATCCCTTTGATCGACTGGGATCATCTGTCCCAGCTATGTCCTCTCCAAACCTCTCACCCACCCCAAGTCAACTTGCTGAGGAGGCAGAGTGAGAAAAGGGACCTTGACGCTGAGCAAGCACTACTTAGCAACAACTAAAGTATCCTCGAGTTATCAGCGCTATTCTGGTCACAGATCCAAAGTCCAGCACCATATGGTCTGCTGTGAATAAAGTTAACTCCCTTCCAGCCAGACCTAGTGCTGCTTATTTTGATTTCACCCCACACCCTCAGCGACTCCTCCTTTCGTGCACAGTGTTCCTTTCTGGTGCCAAATACAGAAGATGACTGATTAAATGGAGGGTCCCATTTTACCCAGTGGAAGCAAATAGGCATGCCTAGAGTAGATGCAAGAGCAGATCAGGAGGTGAGCCCAGAGGACTGTGCCGTTTACCTTGACTGTTAGGAGAGTCTATACTGACTAGATCAGATGCAGATGCCTGTGAACTGGTGGTGTTAGGTAAGATGAATCACACTTTGTCTCTGAGTTGTTTTTGAAGCCTTTTAATGATCTCAAAACTTTGAAACATAGAGCATGAAACTTTAACTAGTTTTCTGGTTTTGAGATTGTAGATACTCTAGCCCAGCAAACTGTCACCTTCCACTACCTAAATGGTTCACATTTTCAAAGATACTTTGTTCGGTGACTCTTAATAAAATCTGAGGTTTTGTCCTTAGAAAGAGTAAACACCATGACATACTACATACATCATATTCCACTTGTGTACAAGTGGAAATACAACTCTGACTGGGTTTTTTTACCCCTGTGACTTTGTGGTAACCCCCAACACCAACGAATAACAATGAAAGAGTTTTGTTTTCATTAGTTGGAGGAATGATGAAGATTAAAAGGGAGAACAAGAATAAAGAAACCCAGTTTTCTTCTGTTGGTCATGCTGGCTTTATACACTGGAGAGAGGAAACTGTAACCCTCCTTTTCTAGGTCACTTTGTTCAGGCACCTTTTGCTATGCACAAAGAGATTCTGTAAGCAGGATATACACACCTTTGAAGTATAACACAGTTATTTATTGGTTGACACAGACAAGAGATAGCTAGGATTTAATGGGATACCAGGCTAAACATTGATACACTCAGTGTCCCTGATGAGACACCTGAAGAGTTCTTGCTGTCCAGGCAGTCAGCCATCAGGTGGGGAGGGGCTGGTTTCTACTGCACCAGTGACAGGTCCTCAGTGCTTCTGAGTTTCCCGTTTCCAACTCTCTGTGTTGCCATCTAGGATTTTTTATCTTCCCATGCTGCTGTTTTTCTTCTTGAATCCTTAGGTTGTTCCCTATCCCCATCTCCGCAATCCACCTCTGTTTGCCTTTTCACCTTTCTCATCACGTGAGTCAGTGTTCTACAGACTTTCTACCAGCTCTTCCTCAGCAGTCTGAGCTGAGTCTGTGTAGTTGGGCTGAACCAGAGCCAGGCACTGGATTCTTGGAACAGAGAGCACTACATTTCTAGGAAGAGAGGAAGCATGTCAGGGCATACGTGATTTATGGATGCACAGATTCTCAAGTGACTTTTTGCCAGGCGCCAAGATCAGCAGTGCTGGTGAGGATGCATATGACTACTGATAGGTCCGAGCACCATGCCAGGCTTGCGTGCCACCAATATCGTGTGCCCCACATCTAGGGAACCTATATGCAAACATTTCAGACTGAATTCCTAATCTGGGTGAGCCTAGTTTCATTCTTCCCACCCTCTTCTGCAGCCACAACCACCACCAAGCTCAGCTACCCCTCCTTTTGAATGTGTTTTCCCAATATCTTCACTCAAGGTGTCCCTTTTTTCTCAACTAGCTGTATGAGATCCATTTGGCACAAGCTTGAACGTGGTGTTGCAGAGCACAGTAACCCTTCTGCAGTTAGTAGACTGAGATACCCAAGGTTTTCAGTGGTCCCCCAGTGTACAGGGGAGGGATAAGTTCCCATGAAGGATGGTGCCTTAGCCAGTGTAGGGGCAAAGCATTATACTTCCCTTACCTGTCCATGAACATGACCTGTTAAGGACTCAGGGCAAGATCCAGCTCCTAAAATGCAAGTAGATGCTATTTGGTCTCTAACTCAAAAGACTCATCTGATCGCTTAGACACTGTAAGAGCCCCTGTACACCAAAGTTGGCACTGAAAATGTGCTAATGTTCCTAGTGTGCCTCCTCAACCCCAAAGGGCTGACATCTTAGGACATCATGTTGCTCAGCTCAGCATCTCCCACTTGTACCTCTCCAGGTGCACAACCAGGCAATCCCATCCTCTCCAAGAGACTAGATCCTGTATTTAATTTGTGAGTGTACCCAACACAGAGTGACAGCATGGAGGGCAGGAGAACTCCCTGACAGTAGCTTTCAGTCTATGTTTCATTCACTGCTTGCAGACCAACATAGAAGTGAGAAGTCTCTCCCATGGGATGGGAGCTGCATCTCCTACTTCCCACAGGAGTGCCCCAATGGTGGAAGGGATCAGGGCAAGGATCACCTTCTACTGTTTCTATTGAAGTGAGGTCATCATGTCATCAGTCAAAACCACAAGCACCTTGAGCTAGAAGAAGTATGATTCCATACCCACGTCTCTTGCAGAAACAGTAAGAAGTTTCCACTGGAAACAGTGGAAACAGTGTAGTATGATTTCTTTTAGCTACTGACTGTCTCCTGTAAAACACAATCCGGAAAAACTAGGACTGGATCCTAAATTTATCTTCTCTCACGTCAGCACACACACTGTGAAAAGCTCTGCTGTCCCTGTGTTTCCCTGCTCCCAGCAGCGCAGCTTCGTAGTGGAAGTGCAATGGCTGCAGTGGAGCTGTGCTGGCTTTGTTCAGCTAAGAATTTGACTTTATACTGGTTCACCCTTTCTATATGGTCCTTCTTCAAGGTATCTGTTAAGGTCAGTGCTAGAAAAATAATAGCAGAACTAATGATGGTGATACTCCAGAAAAGCAGCTAAGTGAGAAATGCACCACTGCAGCACAAGTGAGAACTGTTCTGGCCGCTCAGCAGCTGCTCTTCTCCCTGGAGCCATGGCTTCTCTACCAGCAGCGTCTACAAAATCTTGAGGTGCCACCATGGAAACATGATGTCATTTGCACACAGTTGAACGTGTTCAACTGAATGTGACCCTTCGCCAAGTGTCTGTAGTTGTGCTGGTAGGATTTGGATCTATAATGAGAAGCCAAATTTACTGGAGATACCTCTGCTCCAGAGTGCCAGTATGAGGAAACAAATGACATAAAAGGAAAGTAATGCACTCCTATGCCCGTACAACACACTTAAGATTAATTCCCTGTAACTGAAAGTGATTGTTCACATAAATCTCACTCTGCTTTTAAGCTAGGACATAACCTCAGCTTAATTGATATTCGTGCTTGAAGACAAAGAAATCAATCTGGCACGTCTAAAGAACCTTTAGGATTTTCACAGAGAAAGACCTTCCCTGGTAAACAAGCTTGTCTTTTAATAGGCTGGGGTTTGCGAACACGGAAAATATTCCTTTAATAGTTACATGCATAGATACAGCTCTCCTTGGTGAGCCTGGAAACAAAAACACCTTCTGGATGCATCCTTACTGTGATTCCCTTGGCTTTCAAATGCCTGAGCACACAAAAACTTGCACAGATAGATAGTTCCCAATCTTTCCCTCGCTGTCTCACTGTTCCAGGATAAGGTGTCCATTTATAATTACTTACCAGTCCGTACACAATCCAGCCTTGTGAAGACACCTACTAAAATGTGGACATGCCACTTCCATTCCTGTTTTATTGTTCTTTGACCACTGCCCACCCAGTAACATCCTCAGATTCAGGCGATGGTGCACAGATTGGGTGGGAAAGTTCATTTTTGAATCAAACCTGCAGTGTGGGCATATCATCATCAAAAAAAATATATAATGTGTGAGAAAGCTCAGCCCCATTTCTGGCTGACTGGGGTTTGGATGGGGTTAGCCACATACCCTGACAAGCACACCCTCCCTTAAACCTCTGAACCAAGCGGGCAGGAGAGCAAGGAGTCCATGCTAGATCTTGAAATGAGCTTGTACAGCAGGTTCACTGCGCACTTTACCATGCCTTGTAACATGCACTGCCTCCATGTCCTACAATTTATGTGCTAAGTATTTCTAGTATAGTAACCACATTGATTTCAAGGGCAGTTTGCAGGGCGATGTGACTCTTCAGCTGACAGGGAAGATAAACCCTGAATGCCCTCTTCTAGCTGTAGAAGAGCTGAGGTACAGCTGAGGGGTTGAAATTGGTCCAAAAGAGCTGCTGACACAATGTGTGCCTGAAGGAAGAGATGTTTTTTACATAGTGCCTTAGGAAAACAAACACGTACATGACATGTAACCGCATCTTGACATAAGATGCCAAAAGAAAAAGGCTTCCACGGGAAAGCGCTTATTATTTTCCCTTCCAAATGACCGAGTGCTTAGGAAAGGTGCCAAAAGATGTCCCTGAAGGCTGACAGTCTCTGTACAACCATTAACCTTCAAGGGCCTGGGAAGCAGCGTATGAACTCCCCCGATACGAATTTCTGTCTCTCGCCTGCACAAGCTGTGCCCACTCTGGGTGTGGGAAATTCAGGTATGGCTGTATCCACCAAGCTGCAGCGGGCCAAGGCCACAGCACCAACTTGCAATAGATCATCCACGCTGTGTGATGGCCAGCACTCTCCCTGGATGTTCCCTGTGCCAGCAAGCACTCTCCTTGACGCGCTTGGCAAGACCAGGGGTTGTTCCCACCAGGCACAACATGGAGACAGTGAAAGGTGAGTTGAACCACATGAACACAAGAAGTGCCACTTGTCCTCAGGGAACGGCTCCTGCCCTGTTTTATCAATCTGCATAAAGGCAGTCTAGGCTGATAAATTAGAGATGAGGTCTGGATTTCAGGTCTGGACCTTGGAAACCTACATCACTTTTTCCTAGACACAGGTTCAGGCTGCCCTGTGTCCCCTCAACAAAGGTATGTTTGTAAGCCAGGTTGTGTCACCTGAACTTGAGACAAAAGATCTGTCCCTAGACCTTTATTTGGCAGTTTAGGCCTTGCACATAAGACCTACGTATCATTGCCCTTTAAAGGCTACGAGCCATGGTGAGAATAGAGATGCTTGCTTTGTCACACAGAGTCTTCCATGCAAGGGACAAGGTCAGTGTCAAGGCACATCTTGTAATGGCAAATTAGGGACATAACAATTTGTCATGGCAAAGAGAGGGACAGAAGTACTCCAACTGGCTATCTGAGATCCTGAAAGCAGTCTAAGTTTAGAGTGGGATGTTGACGGTCCTGTCTCATAGCTCAGTTAGGGCAGAGTTCACAGAAGAGCAGAGACGTTATTAGGAGACTCTGAATTTGTAAAAGCACTAATCTGAAGAAGGACATGGAGACAACAAATAGACGATGTTTGAGACAACATGGGGACAAGCTAGTGCAGGACCAGGCAGATGGATCAGGAAGAGATGGAATTAAAGGGCTTGAAGGTGACCAGGAAGCTCAGGAGCCCACACAGGAGCAGGGTGGGATTCATCTCACCTGGGTGTAGGAGCTGTCTGCATCTGAGCTCAGCTTAGTCACCTTCAGCTCCCCTTACAGGCAGTGGAGAGGATCAGCCAAGTGATGCCAGAATCAGGACAATGCCAGACCAAATTGAGAAGAACGTTTAGCTATAACTCTGTCACTCCCTAGCTTCAGATGATTTAAATTAATCCTGATGTTATTTCATACTCAGACTTTTCTATTTTTTCAGCTTGTATTCTTTTAACTACAGTCACCTGTGTAAGGTCAGTAACAAGGAGCTCCAGCAAAAGGGCATTTGCAAGTCAATTTAGTTTGATACTACTGTCACTGATGCTCATTTTCACATCTAACTTAAAAAACAATTGTGGTTTACCTTGCTCCGTATCTTAGTGAAAATTTGCTGCTTAAAAGGAGGATTTCCCTGCCCATGGCAGGGGGGTTGGAACTAGATGATCTTTGAGGTCCCTTCCAACCCTAACCATTCTATGATTCTAAAACTCTTTTTTACCTCAATTTCTCATCTTGAAACATTCACTTTCCTCTCGTCTTCTGTCAGTGTCACTTTAAGGTCCATCACCTGGAGTTGTGACTGTGTTTCCCCTTTCCTGTTCTCTTTCTGTCCCTTCTGCTTCACTGCCTGTGTTGCATAGCTTGAAAAATAGCAGCCAGCCATCACTGTCACCAGGGCTTGGCACCTTTCTAAGTACAAAAGAAAATAAAATACTGAGCAATAGTAAGTGAAAATGAAACATGGAGCAGCATGGCAGATCACCACAATGCTGAGGTTCTTGATTCACAAGGCTTTTTTCCTTGAGCCATTCTCATTTCACAAGACCATCTATGTAACCATGGGCAGTTCCAGGCCCACAGTTATTTAACACAACACCAAATCTTCTCCATAACCTATTAACTTGGATGATCTCTGGACAGTTAAAGCTGCAGCTGATTCAGAGTCTATACATCTCTGCTGCTGATGATTGCCATTCTGATAAACAGCAACAGAGTGAAAGGAAAAAAGCAGCATGGGCTTGCTCCTCCATTTACTTAATGTATCCTCAATAACATTGCCCTGTAATATATCTGTTACCAATCAATAGTTGATATAATTTTAGCAAATGGTGCTGGAGCAAGCCCAAAAGCTAAATTTTTTTTTGCAGGAATAAATGAGAAGAAAGTTCACCTGGGAAGGAAAATGGAGATGTGACTTGCTGGTCTGACTTTGCAATGCTGAGCCTCAGGTCCATCAGAAAGACTAAGCAGCTCTGGGGAAAGAGCATTTGTGATGCATGAGTCAGGGACTGCTTTGATAGAAAGGCAGCGGGAAGTTTCCCACTGTAGCTGCATCAGCACTTTCTATAGAAACAGCTTCTCCACTGACTGCCCTGAAGTTAGCTACTTTCACCAGTGCTGTCAAGACCCCAGGCAGAGATGAGGTAATGATCTGCACCCTAAGCTGGTGAGTACTGGGTCTGCTCTGGTTTGCAGTGGTGGAGGAGCTGGTTCATATAGCCCTGCTCTGTGCTGGAGTGCACTGGCCTAAGTGGCTGTTCATGGGAGAAAGCAGTGAAGATATTAGGTCTTTCATTGACTGTTTAACTTCTGAGCTATGGTTTAAATTTGAAGCAGGTCTTGCCATACAGCTTAACACCACAACATTGGTGTTGGTTGATGAGAAGCTCAACATGAGCCAGCAATGTGAGCTGGCAGCCCAGAAAGCCAACCATATCTTGGGTTGCATCCAAAGCAGCATGGCCAGCAGGTCGAGGGAGGTGCTTCTGCCCCTCTACTCTGCTCTCGTGAGACCCCACCTGGAGTACTGCGTTCAGCTCTGGGGCCCTCAACAGAAGACATGGACCTGTTCGAAGAGTTCCACAGGAGGTACACAAAGATGATCAGAGGGTTGGAGCACCTTTCCTCTGAAGACAGGCTGAAAGAGTGGGGCTGTTCATACTGGAGAAGAGAAGACTCTGGAGTGATCTCATTGCAGCCTTCCAGTACTTAAAGGGGGCCTACAGGAAAGCTGGAGAGGGACTTTTTACAAGGGTATGTAGTGATAGGAAAAGGGGCAGTGGATTTAACCTGTAAGAGGGTAGATTTAGATTAGATGTAAGGATGAAATTTTTTACAATGAGGGTAGTCAAACACTGGCATAGATTGTCCAGTGAAGTTGTGGAAGTGTTCAACGCCAGGTTAGATGAGGCTTTGAGCAACCTGTTCTAGTAGAAGATGTCCCTGCCCTGAGTAGGGGGGTTGGAACTAGATAATCGTTAAGGTCCCTTCCAACTCAAACTATTCTATGATTCTGTGATTGCAGAGCCTCCTGTTTGTGCTTCCCTGAGCCCATGAAAACAGGGCAGTCATCTCTGCTGCTCTGCTATTCTGCTGTAGCATAAAGAGTTATAGCCTGATTTCCTTCCATCCAGTGCTAAGATGGAACCCCAATGTGGAGCAGAAAGATATAACCCAACTCCACAAATTAAGGGTAGGATACTGCTCTGAGTATTTCTCTGCCTGTGGAGGCACTAAACAGACCTCTATGAACTAGGAGCAATGAGACAGTTTTCCATCTTATGTTAGATCAGAAAAAAGAACAACTAGTCAACTAATGACTAGCTAGTAGTTAAGTGGCAGTAAATTCTTACAATTTTCTTTCCTTCAATACATGAGACGATGCCAGGGCACTCTGTTGCATGATAGGAAATGCCCAGTGTGTCAATGTAGGTTGCAGAGAGGAGCAACACTGCTAGATCAGAGATGGTTAACAGATCCAAGGGTCCAGAGAAAAGAGCCTCTGGTAAAGGCAGTGTTCATCTCATTATCCATTCAATTTTTGTGACAGACCTGCAAGGGCTCTTAATTTCATGTGTTAAAACAACAAATGAGATGACCCAACTGCAATCTCTAATAGGTATCATGGGTCAGTAATCATTCATTTGCTATAGTGCCTCTCACCCGAAGGATGGAGATGAAAATTTGTCCTCCTAATGGCAAAAGCTGTAAATTAGTTTTATTTCACTGTTAAATCTAGAGGCCTGAAAATTAGGATGACCATCCCTCAGCTGGGAAGAAAATGTGTCAGCTTAAGGGATTTTTTTGCATTAGGCAAATAGGCAGCTCATAATCACCCATTAAACAGTCACAGTGCCTGTCTCCTGACACCCTTTGCTACTCCAAGTTGTGACTTTCCTGCTGCACTGAACGTGGTGAAACTTTTTAAGTCTGATGTCCAATACTGGGCCAGTGACCTCAGCTCCACTTCTAGCCACAGAAGAGAAGTGAACAACTCCTTTAAGTATGGCACAGTAATTTCATCTTTCCCTGAAGATGGAGATGTTCAAGATAGGGATGACGAATTGCTCAGTGGAGGTACATCTTACCTCCATTATTACCACCATTCAGGTGAGTAGCTCAGATTTGAACGTGTCTATCTTTTAGACATATACATTTAGATGAGACAAATCTCACCCAAAATTTTTCTGATTGTTTGTCACAGGCATTTCTTCTGCTAAGTAATGCTATCATTCTCCTTGAAGGCTTTGCAAGCCCCATGGGTCTAGAAGATGTTATTCTGAGTTAGCATGGACTCTCTGTGGTTTTGGAAATTGCAGGGTGAGCCATCACTGCCTGCTCATAGGGTAGAAAGGAGAGAAATGAAGGGTTTTAAAGATGAATGGAAGATGTGTTGACAGGGGCATGAAGGTGCCTAACTGAGCAAGTAGCTGCCTGTCAAGTCCTGGAAAGACTTGAGTGGCTCCTCCTGGGAGCATGGATGTCTCTCTAGCAGTAACCACACACAGGATTCATGCCTTTGGCCTGACAGTCTGCACAAAACACCTCACAGCCATTCCCGCTAGTTAAGCCTGGTCCCAGAGGTCTGCCCAGAGCTCTCCTAGCCCTATACAAAACCAGAAGTGGATGTAATGCCCATCCCAGCTGACCCAGGTTGTCACAGGGGTGTACAGTTCCTTGCAGCAAAGCCATGCTGTTTGCTCCGGAGTGACATCCTGACAGAAAGCCGGGGCTGCAGCCCTTAGCTCACGGGCTTGAGCCCTGGACTGTGCAGCTGTGTCCTCTCTTGCACTTGTACACGCTGGACCGAGGAGGAGGTAGGTGACACTGCAGCATGAGAGATGGGGAGCAGACCTTCCCTCTGTGTCCCACCCCTGAGCCACCGCACTTTCTCCCTCCAGCCCTGGCAGCCCTTTTGGAAGAAGGAGAGAGGTTTGTCCTGGGAAAGAAAGGCTGAAACACCTTTGATGTGATGAAATGAGTGGTCTGTCATCTTGTTCAATAACATGTCACACAGAAAGCTCTATAAAAAGCTCTCTATAGAAAGCTGGAAAAAAAAAAAAAATTCCACCCTATTCTTAAATCCTCAAAACCCTGAAGTGTATCAGAATAGTTGTGCAATTATTCACTTTTATGATGTGCAGGGTATGGAGTATTGTAGAGCCAGACAAGTTTATAAGAGCATGTATTAAGCTGTCTGTATGGGGAGGACCTGGCTGAAGTCAAACCACAAAACCTTCCCACAAGACAGGTGAGGGGGGACATTAAAGTACAGGAATGGCTTTGAATAAGAAATGTGGCACCTCTGCCCCCTTTCTCCAATGCTACACTTGCACTGAAATAGGAAGTTTTAGACCAGAGACCAGAGACAATAGAAAGCGCCTGTGATGTTGCAGCCAGAGCTACACAGACTACACTGATGGATTTCAAGCAAGAGCCTCACTGATTTAAAAATAACTAGACTCCAAGAGCTGTGGCTCTGCTGGGTGACATGTCTCTAGCCTCTGGATTGCTCATGGTTTCCCCATGAACAACATTATCATCCCCTGGTGACATCTAAACAGTCAACCTCACCTCAGTGCCCGGTAAGATCAGGGAACAGATCCTCCTGGAAGACATCGAAACATACAGAAGACAGGGGTGTGATTAGAGACAGCCAACATGACTTCACCAAGGACAAAACATGCCTGACTAATTTAGTGACCTTCTACAACGGAGTGACTGCATCAGTGGACAAGGCAAGAGCTATGGATATCATCTACCTGGACTTCTGTAAGGCCTTTGATATGGTCTCCCACAACATTCGTACCTCTAAATTGGAGAGAGATGGGTTTGATTGACAGACCGTTAGATGGAGAAGGAATTGACTAGATGGCAGCTTCCAAAGGGTTACAGTCAATGGCTCAATATCCAAGTGAAAACCAGTAATGAGTGGTGTCCCTTAATGGTCTGTGCTGGGACTAATACTATTTAATATCTTAATCAGTGACATAGACAGTGAGATCAAGTGCACCCTCAGTGAGTTTGCGGATGACACCAAGCTGAGCAGTGCAGTTGATTTGCTAGAGGGAAGGGATGCCATTCAGACGGACCTTGACAGGCTGGAGAGGTGGGCCCATGCAAAACTCATGAAGTTCAACAAGACCAAGTGCAAGGTCCTGCTCCTGGGTCGGGGCAATCCCAAGCACAAGTAAAGGCTGGGCAGAGAATGGATTGAGAGCAGCCCTGAGGACAAAGACTTAGGGCATTGGTTGATGAGAAGCCTAACATGAGCCAGCAGTGTGCACTTGCAGCCCAGAAAGCCAACCATATCAGAAGAAATGGAACCAGCAGGACAAGGGTGGTGATGCTCTCCCTCTACTGCACAGTTATGAGAATCCACCTGGAGTACTGCATCCAGCTCTGGGGTCCGCAGCACAGAAAAGACATGGGCCTGTTGGAGCAAGACCAGGGAAGGTCCATGAAAGTGGTCAGAGGGATGGAACACCTCTCCTATGAAGAAAGCCTGAGAGAGTTGGGGATGTTCCACTTGGGGACAAAAAGGCCCTGGAGAGACCTAATTGCAGTCTTTCGACATATAAAAGGGATTTAGAAGAAAGATGAAGAGAGGTTTTTCACCAGGGCCTGTAGTGGCAGAAAAAGGGGCAATGGTTTTAAATTGAAAGAGGGTAGTTTTAGGTTGGACATAAGGAAGAAATTTTTTATGATGAGGATGGTGAGACACTGGCACAGGTTGCCCAGAGAAGTTGTGGATGCCCCACCATTTGAAGAGTTCAAGGGCCGGCTGGGTGG